TGCCTCCATCGAAAATGCATCCGCTGTAGTCGGGATTCGATGCCGCGACCTGTGGATCAGCAAACGAGTATTTTACCTGCTCGACCACCAAGGCGAGGACAAAAGCACAAAGAATATGAAGAAGGTGGTTCCATTTTTCGCTCACCTCGCAGGTTCCCGTCACACACGCCTATATGCAGCTCCAAAATCTGTTAGGAAGAAACCGTGATTTGTCTGCTTTCCTAATTGTAAGACAAGCATATGCGACATTCAGCACGCTAAGTCTAATACAACAATATATATTAAGTAAAGGCCTTATATGTCACGCGTCGAAACAGAGGTCTTGCGGCAGAAACTGAGACACCAGAAGCAGGTAGCCCTATCGGAAAAATTGCCATGGTGGATACTGGAAAACATGGTGGGAGAGTAGTGGAAATATAGTGGGCATGGTGGAAATAATAGTGGGCATGGTGGAAATTATGATGGCTATGGTGAGACGTAGTGGAAAATATGGTGGCTATGCTGGGACATATGGGTGGTATGGTGTACAGATGATGGGTAAAGTGGAAATGATGATGGAAAGCAGAGGCTAGATAGTGGGCAATAATGGGACACTCTGCCCACCATTGCGATAATGCTGGGAAGCCCTAAGCATATGGTGGGTGGTGCTTATTATGGTGGGCTACATGGTGTACCAAGTAGAGAAACTCTTCCCACCATGCGATTGCTGGGAAGCACTAAGCAGATGATGGTGCTGCTTGTTATGGTGGGCCACATGGTGTACCAAGTGAGAAGCTCTGCCCCCCATCGCGATAATGCTGGGAAGGAGTAAGCAGATGATGGGTGGGCTTATAATGGCGTGCAATTTATATAGTGTACAAAGCTGGGATCTGTACACTACATGTTCTACCACCATGATTCCACCAAAGTTAGGCCTACTACTGACAGAGCCCGTACAATTGTGTAGCGTGCTTCGGGTTTCAGAATACATGATTACGACGATTAAGTATTACAATACACCGCAGCCATATGGCATCAATTAACCTAATGAAGCATTTTTCATTGTGTATGGTGTCCGCTCAAGAAACAAAAACATTGATGCGACGCGATTTAAGCACTCCCAGGAACGTAATTAAGTGTCTTCTCACCGACAGCCGCCAGTCACACTCGCCGGCACTTCTCTAGCTTTTGTACGAGAACTCAGACGTGGCAATTCGTGTGCTTGATGAACCAATATGATAGCGTAATGTTTCCGGCACACTGGATTCGTTTTGGCCAAGCCGTTATGTAGTTGTTGCTTTAGCGAAAGAGCTACAGCACTGCGCTGGCGCGACCGCCCTTACATTGCGCGAAAAGCATCCCAATACTCAATCAAATAATTAGGCGGCCGTATCTATGGAATGAGCCTAGAAGCGTCATAAAGCGTGAGCAGATGTCGCCCTTTAGAACGAGCGCGAAACGGATATTAAACTTGGCAGACCCGCCGGTAAACTGTCGCTGCTCCCCAGTCCACTTGGTTTTTTTTCTTGAAGTTGTGAATTGCAAAAAATAGCACTAGTGCCATTAACATAGTGGCAATCGTTACAGGCCGCAGTTGCTTGTTTAATAAATGTGCAATGTTTAGTTGCAGGTGTAGGCCTTGTCTATGTTGTGTACACGACAACAAACTAAGATGAACTTAAGTTTGTATGGCAACTAAGTATTTAACACGCAATCAACGTCATGTCGGTGTGGCGCAGTGGTTAGCGGCTTCGAATGGAAATCCGCAAGTTGCAGGTTCGATGCTCCATGGCGCCTTGTTTTTTTTTTTTACGGGACGGGTGTTTTTATGCCGTTTTTATAGAATTCTTTTTTATTTTTTGTGGCAGCTTGTCACGGTGATTCTGACGTCATTTCGCGCTCAAATGTTGCCGACACTGCAGCACCACCATACCGACCATGCGCCATGGTGGGCGTTTCCCACCATTCACCCACTACATTAATCCACTATAGTGGTGGGTGGTGGTTTCCACCATGCCCACCATTCGTTTTTTTCCGATAGGGAGGTTCTTTTAATCGAACGCGCAAGAGAGTTCTTCTTTTTCATCCATTCATTGTACTTCATGGCACATGCACAACTGTCATAGTCTTTCTTTTTGACAAGCACGTGACATTTGCCTCCCTCCGAAAGAGGCATCGTCTCGATGCGCAACTTAGGCGCTCTACCAGGCGTATGAAGTGGTCGCGTCAACTGGATAAATACGGTTTCATACGCACGACGTGTACGACTTCAGGTAAATGATTTGACGCTTAGAACCACAGTCAGTGTCGGGAACAACTTCATAGTTTACGTCGTTCAAGCGTCGCGTGAAGCTGTATGGGCCAAAGTATCGTCTTAGCAGTTTTTCTGACAGTCCACGTCGACGTATCGGAATCCAGACCCAGACCTTGTCGCTGGTGTGTAGCTAATAAACTTGTGTCGCGGGTCGTACCGTTGTGCATCTTGATGCTGTTGATGACAGATGCGCACACGCGCGAGCTGCCTGGCTTCCTCGGCGCGCTGAGTGAACTCTTCGGCGTCCACATGGATGTCGTCACACTCATGCGGCAACATGGCGTCCAACGTTGTCGTGACTTCGCGACCATAGATCAGACTGAACGGCGTCATTTCAGTGGTTTCTGTCGAGCGGTATTATAGGCAAAGGTCACGTACGGCAATATCTGATCCCAGTTTTTATGTTCTGTGTCAACGTACATGCTGATCATGTCCGTGAGGGTTCTTGAGGCGCTCCGTCAGTCCGTTGTCTGCGGATGGTAAGCAGTTGTTCTCCGGTGAGCTGTACCGCTGAATCTGAGAACCGACTGCAAAAGTTCTGCGGTGAAGGCAGGTCCTCCGTCTGTGATCACTGCTGTCGGAGCGCCTTGCCGAAGGACGATGCTTTCGATGAAGAACTGAGCGGCCTCTGCTGCTGTGCCGCGCTGCATAGCTTTAGTCTCCGCATAACGGGAGAGGTAATCGGTGGCCACGATTTTCCATGTGTTCCCTGTTGTGGAAGTTGGAAAGGGGCCCAGGAAATCCATTCCATCTGGGTGAACGGCTTCGCTGGTGCTTGGACTGGATGTAAAAGACCGGCGGCTTGCTAGGAGGCGCTTTGCGTCTTTGGCAGTTAGGGTGCCTGAATGGTTTCCCTCGCCCGCCGCGGGCGAGGGAAACCATTCAGGCACCCATTGGCAGTCGGTGCAAGTTCGCACATGATGGTTAACATCAGCGGGTAACTTTGGCCAGTAGTACTTGCATCGCAGTCGGCACAATGTTCGGGTGTAGCCTAGATGACCAGAAGTTGCTTCATCATGGCACGCTTCCATAATTTCTTTTCGAAGAGAGGCAGACACGACGAGCAAGTGCGGGTTGCGGTTGGTGAGAAGTTTTTCTTATAGAGAACATCGTTTCGCAAGCAAAAAAATGGCAGTCCTCTGGCAAATAACCACGGCACGTCCTTACGTCGTCCTTCTAAATATTCAATGAGTGGTAACAGCTCGGGGTCACTGCGCTGCTCCCGTGCTATAGTGGCCGTGTTGACAAGTCCCAAGAATGCCGCGTCGATGTTTCGTCATCACGAGCGACAGTCTCCACTGGCGACCGCGAGAGACAGTCGGCGTCGGTGTGCCGCTTCCCAGATTAATAGACGATAGTCATGTCGAACTCTTGAAGTCTTAAGGCTGGTGCACACCGGCGACTAGTCGCGGTCGCGCGACCATTTGCGACTGGTCGCAAGCAGTCGCGAACGGTCGCAAGCGGTCGCAAAGCGACTGTTTGGGCCAGTCGCTTCCTGACCGATTTTTTGGTCGCGCGACTGCAGTCGCAAAACAGTTTAACCAATCAGCGAAGACCAGAAGTGACGTCAGTCTTTGTTTACATCCGGTCTCCTCGTATGTTTTTTTTTCCTCGTTGCGCTTGCCTACTGCCGTGAGGTACGAACGACACGTACGTTCCTCCATGGATTCTTCCTCGCATCAGGCGAATGCCACCACGGCCAGCTTTGGGTAGTCGGCCGAGCTCCTCATCGACGCGACTAAAATGTACCCATATCTGTATGACAAGCGGCACCCTTCTTTTAAAGATCGGACAAAGAAGGACCGGGCTTGGGCAGATCGAAGCATGTTCGGCATGTCGAGTAAGTACCGAGATTTTTTGTTTGAGTAGCTATATAAGCAAAAACAGGTGTGTACTGCATGGCTGGCGTTGCCAATGAATGAACAATGAAAATATTGGTATTTGTACTGCAAGGTTACATGGTTAGTTTGCATGAGATGTATTGACTGTGATGTATGCGAGCGCAGTTGTGTGCATGTTTGTTCTCGCGACTTCCCGAGTTTAACATCGAAATCGACGTGACAGAACATTGTATAGCTGATCATAAAGCTCAGACGTTCGAAATACTGCTCGCAGTTGCCAACTCACATGCGCATGCTCCTTGCTGTGTTTGTACGTCATCGTCTGGCGAACGGAATGTGTGCTTTTGTGAACGTGCGGCATTTGCAATGCATAATATCTAGTGCGCGGTGAGGGAGGGGGGGGGGGGGTTACGCTTTAATTTTGCCTATGCATTGCAGTTGTGCTGCTTTAAAAAAGAATGCAAAGTAGCTTCTGCTTTGAGCGCATTTTGTGCACTCCACAGAGGAGCGTGTAATTAAAACATGAAAAACATGTTTAGCAGCACTCTCAAATGTCCGGATTTGGGAGTCAGACATGCTGTTGATGCCAAATGACATGCAATCGTAAAAAAAAAAAAGATATGGTAGTGTTCTAGTGGCTGGGCGAACACTGAAGGAAAGCACAGATGGGGGAATTTATTCCTCTGTAATGTGGCCCAAATCTAATCCTCATTTCTTCACAACTGCTCCTTTCCTCTCCTGTGTTTTTGTCTATTGGTGCCTTATATTTTATTCCCCGAGGTTATATCTCTCCGCTTTCAACTGTGCCTCGTTTTTGTTGTGTTTCTTTGTTCCTATATATATTAAAGTCAATTTTTCCTGTCTGCTTCTATGTGTTGGTATGTTTTCATGTTTTGGTCCCTTTATTTTCTTATATTTTCCTTCCTCTCGCTCTCTCTATGTTACACTTTGAGTCATATACTATGTTTGTTGCATTTCTTTCTCTCGAAAATTGTCATCTTGCTCTAGTTAGTTTCATTCTTCTTTTCAAGTTATTTAACATGTTTGCTTTTGTTTGACAACAATCGCTCCCGCTGTACACGACAGTTGCGCTTGGCCGATACCAATGGTATATACTCACCTGTGGAGTTTTGCGCAATGCAGTAATGCTTAGAAAGCTTCACTGTGAAGGTGATAAAGACATCATGTGCTGGTTCATGAAATAGACTTTTTGCAAGTGAACTTCAATTTCCGACAGTATAAACAGCCTCTTTGTTACAATAGCTTGGCAGACATGCTTACCTTCAAGAAACAGTGTACATAACTCTTTGCGCAACTAATCATTGCGTCAGCTGTGATGTCGTGCACATGTAGGTGGACGGTCTAAAACACTAGGTGGGTAGCATTTCTGGAACCCTCGGCTGCAGGTTCCCTCAATCATGTCGTGGTTTTGCAATGTTTAAGCCCCTACCAATAGTTAAGTTTAGATGGCATGCGATTCATTTTGTTGCCCAATATTCAGATTTCTAGGGTGCTGCAGCCAAAATGATCTGGGCAAAGAAAATAAAGACCGCTCACAATTGTGCTGAAATAAAGTAGAAAATTTATCAGCGATACAGTATGCACAATACATTCTTACAGCAAGGGTTTTGTTTTCAGGTGTCCTTGTTGAGAAACGATTTAAGAACCTGCGTGATATCTTCAAAAGGAAACAACACGACATACGTGAAAAAACAAAGAAGTGGAGCCGGAGCAGCCGACATTCCAACAATAAAATGGCCCCATTTTGAGGCCATGCTTGAATTAATGGAAGGAGAGTCTGAGCCTGTGGCGTAAGTTCAATATTAGCTGACTATTGAGTACTAAACAAAAAAAAAGTTGATTTAATTCACATGACTGTTATACATACACATAAATACTCACATATCAATACACATAAGTACACTGCACATAAACATAGAAGTCCCAAGAGGTAATTCACAGTGGGCATGCATGTGATCATGAACATGATGGCAATGGGCTGTTTTGATGTCGAATAACTGTGGCTACAGCTACGAAGAATAACTCAGTGCATCATTCTTTCTGGATACTGTGCAACATGAGTGCCATTGACCAAAGGTAATGAATAATGCTTACCGTCCATTGAACAGAAAATGAAATGTTTTGGTTAGCATAGCACAATGCATCAGCACAACGCAAAAAATATAGCATACCGTACAAGTGGCACGTGGACAGCTTCACAAAACAGAATATTGAAGACAGAACAGTAAGAATGAAAGAATTGAGTGTACTTCTGTGTCATTCTCGGCTCTCATTTACCAAAAAAAGAAAGGCTTAATACAAAATATAAAAATCTAAAGAGATCGCTTATTGCATGTGTCATGAGGCTGTTCATAGACAAGCATTGCACATATTCATTACAAGAATGCAGCATAAGTACTTATATTGTAGCAAAACAGTGAAAATGCTCTAAAGATGCACACAATAGCACTGACAGAATCACATATTGCATGTTCTCTTGCAGCAGCCACATCACAGCAGAAGAGGCTAACGAGAGGTGAGCATGCACAAAAATTTTCGGTACCATGTGCATGCACTTGAAGCTGTACATGCATGGACTTGAACCTAGAAACATTATTTTTTATTACTAGGTGATTGTACTTTGCAAAATTATCAAAAATACAAGCGTGCTTGAAAGGTGGTGTTCAGGTCGTTAGCTTGCCCAAACCACTGCATTTTTTTCAATACATTCAGCACTCAACACTGAACAGAAGCACACCGAAATACATGAGGGCACAGGCATTGTTTCTGTGTGAATGTGGTTATTTTACAACGTCAAATATTTCTGAAAAAGCAAAGTATTCATCAGCAACAGGCTGCAATTACTTTTACTTCATCTCCGTGACAATATCTCTTGTTCTCATTTAGATGTGCAGCCTACATAGCATTTTATTAACATAATAGGCACAATAAACTTCTGTATGCACACCTTCCATACAGCAGTGCTCAATCAAGAGGTAACGCAAGTGTAAAATAAACTTCGTGTTGAGCGAAATCATAATGGCATTTTAACTCCCAAAGAATGCCTAAAACTTTTCATGTACTAGCGGCATCAAAATACATAGAAAGAAATTTTAATCACTGCAGATCACCGCCTCGGCCAAGACATGCAGCGGAACCGGAACGTACCCCTGATACGGCTGAGGAGACTCGTGTCGACACCTGCAGCAATGAGTAAAACCTTTATGAATCCACCTAAGTAATGACAAATGAAGGGCATGCATAGATAGCCAATCTATTAAATCTTAAAAACATGCATGTTCTAGCACATTTGAAGAATGTGCCTAATGTTTTTTTTTTTTTTTTTTTACAGGTATCTTACAGGCCCTTGGTTAGGGCATTGAGTAAGGGGGGCTAACAAAGACATGTACAACAAGTAAAAGGGCGAAAGGTGCCAAAACGTAAGCTCGAGACATGAGTAACAAATAAACAAGAAATAAGTAAGTATAAATTGACATCATACATCGTTACCAAAAAACAAGAAAGATGCAGTTCATGGCACGCAGCAGTTAGGAAGTGTACAATACGTGTAAGTTAAATTGGCACAGATTGTGGTATAATACACTGGGAAAATCATGAAAGCGCTTACAGGAAGTGTGAACAGTTCGTCCTAAGCAAACAAAAATAAAGCACAAAAATAAGGGGGCAATAAGCGCATTAGAAAAAAAACTTTTTGCACAGCATTATGAATGTCATATACATACAAGAACGAAGCTGTGAACATAAAATTATCAACCAAAATGTAAGACCAATTTGTTGCGGAAGGAAACAGGGTTAGTGTCAGATACCAAGTTATCGGGAAGATCATTCCACAACGTGATGGCACGAGGCAAAGCGGATGCGTTAAAAGAGTTCGTTTTGCCGTACATGCGCGAGAAACTAAGCCGGTTGTGTAGTCTAGTTGATAAATAGGAGGGTCGTTCAATTGGAAGTCTGGTCATTTTAGTGCTATTGACGTATTTATGAAAGAGGCATAAAAGAGAAATGTTGCGGCGAGTGGATAATAATTGAAATGAATAATCCATTTTAAGTTGTGTTACGCTGCAGGAGAAATTATAATTACGAGAAATGAATCGGACTGCCCTATTTTGAACTGCTACATGCACCAGATTTTGCTACATGCAATTTTTCACACCAGATTCTGCTACATGCAATTGCAACACTTTATAAGTTGTATAATAATACTGCCTCCTCCTGCGGTGATGCTTCAGCAACCACCTCAAGAGAGCAGCCACCATCAAAACGGTGTGTAAACAAAAAAAATTATTTTAGGTACTCCTGGCAAGAGATCACAACCACAACTTTTCGAAAAGGATCACTTTCTGTACATTTAAGTAATATGTATAATTCACTGCAGGTCACGCTCGTCAAGACGACAACGGACCTGCGAGGGCGCTAGGTGAGATATACCCCTAACTCTTAGAGGATAAACTTGCAGATTTTTTTCTAACAATCCTGCGCATGCTACAAAACACAAAACTTTATAAGGTTCACGCTCGGTCAAGTTGGTACACAGACATAGTAACAAAAAAGAGTGTGAGAACGACAAGGTAGAAACAGAAGAAACAGGACAGAGCACAGACTTTAAACTGATGTTTTTATTGTGGACACATTTATACTAAGGTAGACAGAACCCATGTAACTACCGTAATATTTAGACGTTAATATCAGAACATCAGCACCCTGTCCCAAAACACAAGTGTCCGTTTCAAAGATCAAAAGCCCATTTATTTCTCACAGAGAAGTAGACGCCCTATTGACACATTTATCTTTTAAGTGTGCTATTTAATTTGCTTCAGTTGCTCTATATTTTTTCTTTCTTAGTGCCGAAAATCACAAACATTAGCTGAAAGTCAGTGCTCTGTATTGTTTCTTCTGTTTCTACTTTGTCGTTCTCACACTGTTTTTTTTGCTAAATGGTGCTTTATGAAGTAACAATGCAACCTTAAAGCATTTGCATGAATCGCAATTCACACTTGCTTTGCAGCAATGCAGGAGAGGGCACAAGCCATGAAGCTGTGGCGCAAGCGTGCATGGAGCACCTTGAACACATCAGAGCGAACAAGGGGGTCATCAAAAAAGATAACATTGGTTTCTTCGCTCTACGTACCGATGCACCCCTCAGAGAGCTACCAGTGCACATTGCACAAGATGTAATGCATGCAGTAGAACTTATGCTGTATGAAGCAGAGGCAAAATTGCATCAGAGCAGTGAAGCAAATTGAAGTGTTTATATAATAAAGTCAATGACACCCATCTTTTTTTTATCTTGTGTTCACTTTTCTAGTCCTAACTTAAAGGGGTCATGACTGGTCACTCAACAATTGACGGTTGTCAGCAAAAAACAAAACTACAGAGTAAAATGTGCTAGTACACGTGTGAAAAGGGGCCTTAAGAGATTATTTTAGTCAAAAATATGCCGTAGAAGTGCTCGGCTCCTAAAACTCAACCTACCACAAGTGACCGCCATTTTGTCATGGCGTGCGCGACGTCACAAGCCGAAGGAGCAGTGGCAAATGGTATACGCATTGCACATTCACGAAATTATTTGCTGCAAGTACCAACGCTACATTGCTGACACAGTAGCCATGTTTCGACCCCTGGAAGTCATTTAGCTTTAGTGGAGAGTTCAACAATGCAAAAAATTTGATTGCAAACGCAGCTGATGACAAAACACGACCGTCTGCCAGAATGCACACTGTGCAGCAGCTTGTCGAGCAAGCGGTTCGTGATGTCATGGATAGTGAGTGCATCAGTATTGCCCAACTGTCAGGCGACTAGCTCGTTTATAAAAATATGCGATTAAAAATTAGCAGCTTGACCAAATCGCTCGAATTTCACCAGCTTGTATGTGAACATACAAGAATCAGCTCATGCAACACACATTATGGTTGAAAATTGGGTGTCATGACCCCTTTAAGGCCACTTATTTCTGTGATAATTATAGCGATAACCGTGCAATAACTCAAATATTTTAACATGAATTATTTATTTTTGTGTTTTCATGGTTATTTGGACATGACAGTTTTCCCTGTAATGTATCTGTTGTGTCACGGGTGATTTTTTTCTTCTTTGTTTAGCTTAAGAAGATGCTATGTACATAAGTTCTGTAAGCAATAAAATGCATTTACAACCCACCTTCACCTTGTACGCCTCAAGTGCTGTTCACCACTTTGTCCTGCCAAGGCACCTGACCGTCTGTGACGAAGTAGTGCGCCAATTTATCTCGCACTTCCTTGGCATACCTACAACGCATAAGTGCCATGTGAAATTTCTGTCGGCACAGCCATGATGGAAGACACACACTGTAAAAGGAACATGCTGAGCTTGAAAATCTCACACATAGTTGCATTTCAGTGTCGTAGTCATGACGCTACATTGCCAAAGTGTTCCTCATTTTTATGTATTAATGAGTGCTACCTCTGCTGTCTATTTTCTACGACATCATCACAGCTTCTGATAGAATGCATATTTGCTGACTGACTTTAGAAATTTCGATATGTCAAGTTTCATGGCAGCCAAGGTCAGTAACTGCTCGCATTTGGACAAAACAATTGTACACTTTTGAGAGAACGATTGCCCTGTACAGTTAAACCAAATTAAGGCTGGTGCACACCGGCGACTAGGAGCGGTCGCGCGACCATTTGCAACTGGTCGCGAACGGTCGCACTGCTTGTGCACTCTGCAAGCTGTCGTATATGCAGTGAATATTTCTGTGCCTACACATTTTAGCGAATCATAAGCATGCATCAACCTTTTCATGGAAGAGCGTACGTGCTCATATCACTCAGGTTGAAGAAGGGCAACCTAAATGTACCTGTAGCAATTTCCTTAGCATGGATTTCTGAAAAGCTGTAAATTCAAGGAGAACCTATTTCGCAAAACGTACATCACTCAAGTCAATTGTTCAAATTGCTTTCACACAATGTGCTACCGTCCACAATACGTTTTGCCACTGCGCTACTGTCCACAGTGTATTGGGTCACTGTCATTTTAACAGAACATACGTATAATTGTAGCAAGGTGCAGGGGTTAAACACTGCCTATGTTTGTGAGAAATTTCGCATGTGTACTTGTGCAAACACACACCGTCGTGCATGCAGATACATAAAGGGTGGTTGGTTGAACCTCCTCCCTCCCCGATGCTGAAAATATTTTTGGCATGAATACTCTTTGAGTGCCTCGAACAGCACATCAATTTGTCCTAACAATTTGTGCATAATTGTACTCGCAAAGCTTAGGATTGTGTTTCACTTATTTTATAACATCATTAATAATTGCGTTCTATATAGACCTGTGCATCAGGATAACAGAAAACGGGAACTGACCGGTCCACAATGTAATGTCATTGTGTAGCGCAGAATCCCATTTTCTGGGATTTTACAAGCGGAAACCACGTACTGATTACGCAATAAGCAACAACAGATGGTTTTGAAATATTCACCACCTGAGATTCTTAACGTACGTGCGCAACAAACGCGCCAACTTAAGTGCATTTCGCCTCCACCTAAAGGCGATCGATGCGGCCGTAATCAAACCCGTCACCTACGCGTAAACTGCCGGCCGCCGTAACGACTGCATCATCGAGCCCGCATACGTCATAAATGCAATTCGTTCTATCCGCCCAAGCAAAACTTCCTTACGAGCGAAGCGCAGCCGCAAGCCACAGCATATTAATCTTCAAACCACACGCTCTTACCTAATGGTCATGGCCAGGCAGTCGTGCGCCGAAATTGTAGCCGGTGGTTTGTGTCCTGCTTGGATATTGCGGGGCGCAGCAGTTCGAGCACAGCATCGAACGTTCGTGGCGGCATCCGCATGAAGCTAACTACCAAAAATAGAATGAGATAACATGTTATGCACTATCTTATAAGCACGTAAAACAACCATAAACTTACTCTCGGAAATTCTCCTCGTCGTGCGAGCGCAAGAGCAGACGCCCTGTGTGGACGGCCACTTCTCGCGAGCGAAGGGACGGTCTCACCCACCATCGCCTTGCTTGCTTTGAAGGCTTTTGTGCTGACACGTTGGCTGAGCACATCAGCACCGCCACAACCTCTTCTTCATCACTCGACTCGAAGTCTATGATGCTGCCGGGAGAACGCTACGCAAACACAGCCGTCAAAAACAAACGCATCGCGCTCAGCGGGCTCCGTATCTGATCAGCTGATCGTCGCCGGTCGCCCAAGTTCTCGTTGATAACGAGATCTGTACGTGACTCTCCGGGTTTGCGACTTCCGGTCGCTCGCATGAATCCTTGCCGGTGTGAACGTCGCTCGCAGTTTGGTCGCCAGTCGCAAATGGTCGCGCGACCGCGGCTAGTCGCCGGTGTGCACCAACCAGGCTCCAAATAGGCACACAACCCTAAAAAGCGTCTCACAGCCTTTTGTCGCGTGATGCAGAAAATTGCGCTACGGCGTCTATTTTGGCCGGGTCAGGTCGAAACCCTCGGGACTGACGACGTGGCCTAGGAAGTTGAGTTGGTTAAAACCAAAATGACATTTTTCCGGTTTTAAAGTAAAGCCGGCCGAGCGTATGGCTTGGAGGACGGTGAATAAACGGCTGATATGTTCCTCGAATGTTGCTGAGAATACAATAACATCGTCCAGATAACCCAAGCATGTTTGCCACTTCAGGCCTGATAGTACGGTGCCCATGAGACGCTGAAAAGTGGCTGGCGCCGAGCACAACCAAAAAGGAAGCACCTTAAATTCGTATAGGCCGTCGGGCGTCACGAAGACCGTTTTACACGATCTTTCTCGTCGACTTCTATCTGCCAGTAGCCGCTTCGGAGGTCCATTGAAGAGAAATAGCGCGCATGACGCAGCCGATCGAGTGAATCGTCTATGCGGGGCAGGGGGTAGACGTCTCTTTTCGTGACTTGGTTCAACTTGCGATAAACCAATACAGAAGCGCAAGATGCCGTCTTTTTCTTGACCAAAACCACGGGGGACGCCCAAGGACTTTCGAAGGTTTGTATGACGTCATCGCGAGCATCTTGTGTACTTGCTTCTGAATCTCCTCGCGCTCCTTCGGAGACACACGGTAGGGGTTTTGCCGAATCGGTCGCGTGTTGTCTTCAGTAATAATGCGGTGCTTGGTCAATGGTGTTGCTGTACTTTTGACGTACGCGAAAAGCAGTCTTCGAATTGGTGTATAAGTTCAAGCAGGCGCTTCCTATCAGAGGGCGGTAGCGTAGAGCAGATGTCCACCGACGAAGTAGTCGAGTCTGGGACAGCCGCGTCATCTGGTTGCAAGGTAAAACAATCCCCGGCTTGGTATACATCGTCGTAGTAGGCGATTGCGGTACCCTTCTGGATTTGACGGCGCTGGTTGCTGAAGTTTGTGAGGAGCACTTCTGCCTGTCCACCAGTAAGCGCCAGGACGCCCCTCGCGATGGAAATGCCTTGCGTGAGCAGAAGAGTGACTATGTGCTCCGCTATCACATCTTATAGCAAGGACACCCACTGCATGGACATCGACACAAGGCAGCAGGATCTCGGTGGGAGTGTACATCGTCGGCTATTCGCAAACGGCCGCGTGGTTCTTCACTGCTGTTGTCGGCATAAGGATGTGCGCAAAACGTCACCATACGTTGAGGGATGTTGATAACAGCGCCATGATCTTGAAGAAAATTCATGCCCAAAATTAACTCTTACAGCAGTATGGCAACAGGACGAAAGTGGCACGAAGCTAGAATCTCCGATGCGAAGTCTAGTGGTGCATTTACCCGTGGGTGTCATCAGCTGACCACCAGCACTCCTTATGTGCGGCCCTGTCCCTGGTGTCTTGACCTTTCTGAGGCGGTCGGCGAGCTCTTGTCGCATGATTGAGAAGTCGGCGCCAGTGGTCGACCAGTGCTGTAACGTGATGTCCGTCAATGAGAACGCTCAGATCGGCACGTACAACTTCATCAGCATTATATTCGTCGTCGTATTCATCGTCGTTGTCGTCATACCTTCTTGCGATGATTGGGGGAACTTTTCAGTGTGTCGACGATTGGCAACCTTGCCCCCGAGGTCGCATCAGTTAGTTTCTCCGGCGCGGGCTAGGCGAACGGCCTCTGGTGACGTCCGCGTAGCTCTGAGGGAAGTCGCGGTGACGCGTAGGTGATGGAGATCACCAGCGACGCGGTGGGTTGCTTGAGCAGGCGATAGTTGATCATCATCGTGGGCATGACGGTCTTCGGAACGGAAAGAAAGCGGGACGAGAAAAGTTCCCGAACCAGAATCGCCGTGACGGCAATAGCGGGCAATGTGACCGGGTTCTCTGCAGCAGTAGAAATAGGTCGACGGTCGGCCATGCGCCGCAAGTCAGTTCGGCGAACTGGTGGTTGTCTCGTAGAATCTCGTTGCCACCAAGGTACGGCAGCGGGTCGTGGCTGGAAGGGCGTCGCCACAAATGTCGGTGGAGGGCGACGGACCACATCAGCGTAGCTCGTGGATGTGGCTCAGGACTTGGCGGGGTGGTGTAATGGCTTGCCTCAACTCCTGGCGGACGATTTCGGCAACAGATGCGACTGGCGGTTGGGCAGGGGGAACGCAGAGGGCCGAAGTTCCTCCCGCATTATTCCCTAATCATTTGTCGCAGGGAACTTTCGCATACGGCAGTATTCTGAGCTGCAGCACTACTGCCGTGTGGTTCTGCAGGCGGTCCAAGTGTCGGCGTTGTTGTTGCAGTGCACGCTCGATGACGGTCGCCTCTCTTATGAATTCATCTAGTGTGTAGGTGGATTTCGTACGAGGCCCGCAAACACTGTTCTTAACACCCTGCATTAGGTGACGCACCTTCTTCGCCTCGGGCATGTCAGGGTCAGCTCGTTGAAACAGACGGATCATACCCTCTGCGTACATGGCGGCTGTTTCATTGGGTTTTTGCACGCGTGCCTCAATCACTTGCTGTGCGCGATTCCGTCGGTCCGAGTTCAAAAATGTAGCGAAGAGCTTTCGACGGAAGTCCCAAGATTGGAATGTAGCCTCGCGGTTTCATACCACGTGCGGGCACTATCTTCCAGTGGGAAATATGCACGGCCAAGTTTGTGCTGTTCGCTCCAGTAGTTGGATACAGCAACCCGTTCGAACTGTTCGAGCCAGTCCTCGACATCCTCGTACTCTTCCCCACGGAAAACTTCTGGAACGCGAGGGTGTTCAAGAGTTACCTGCGAGGGAAGAGTGGTCTGCGATGGTGGGATAACCGTGGATGTCGTAGGAGCTGCCATGCTGGAAAGAGCGGAAAGGGCGGAACAGGTGCGGACTCTGGATAGGCCTAGTAGGCGCCGACTGAACCGATGCACTGGAGTCGAGACGAGGGGCTGAGTCTCGGACTAGGTGAACGGGTCCGAGCAAGACTGTCTGCATCAGGTTGTAGCTCCAGCACCTCCACCAGTGTCACGACGTCGAAACAGAGGTCTTGCGGCAGAAACTGAGACACCAGAAGCAGGTAGGTTCTTTTAATCGAACGCGCAAGAAAGTTCTCTTTTTCATCCATTTCATTGTACTTCATGGCACATGCACAACTGTCATTGTCTTTCTTTTTGACAAGCACGTGACAATTGTCTCATCAAATGCGATAATTGCTGGCAGCGTCAACACGAGTGGAGCAAAAATAAAAATCATCTCGTGATGACATCACCAAATGACGTCATGGTGGCGTCATGATTCCCCAAATTGGTCATAACGTCACTGTCACGTCGCGTGGGGGCGTCATCACAAGACAACCTTTCTTAGTCCGAAGTGGACCGGTTCATGGAGGAGGCAGTAGAAACCGAGGTAAAAGTGTACAGAAAATATTTCAGAAGGGTTGCCTAAAAAGTGGGGTAATTTTTTTTAATTTATGTATGGTGCCAAAAAAAAAAAGAGCACTGAAGTGAGATGAAAATTGAGTTATGTATGAAGTGGTGTCATATCCTCGTATGACGCAGTAATTTCGTCAGGCCGATTTTTAGTGCGTCTACATCTCCAAGAGCATCCATTTCACACCGAAAGCTGTTATGAGATCTCAACTCGGGTCACGCGCAGTTGCATGTTGTCCACCGCCGCCACCGCCGGTGTCCGTAACCAGATTCGCGCGAATTAGAAGAAAAAAAAAAAAACCTCGCACCAATGGCACACTGGAGCTTGAACCTGGGTCCGCTGGGCGCCAGCACAATATTCTACCACTGAGTTACGCTGGTGCTTGTAACTTGTTGTCAAACTTGCCTTAGGCAGGCATCACCTAGCACTAATACCACAGTGGGGCTCAAACCCGGGTCCACTGGGTGCCAGCCCAGTATTCTACCTCTGAGTTACTCCGGTGCTTATGATTTGTTGTCAAACTTGCCTTATGCAGGCTTGATGTCGGGAAAGCAATCGCGGTATACGACTTGTAAAGCGTTTTAGAACTGCGAAAGAACAACCAGTCGTCGCACAATGCGATTAGCGTAACTAGTGGACCGTCTAATGCTACAACGCATTACAAAAGCTTGTTCTTGTTTCGCTTTAAACTGTAGCGCATGCCCACTTCAGCCATATTTCCTCATCGTCGTGAGCCACTGCATGGACAATTGGCAAAATTCCCAGCAAATGTTGTGCGGATACCACGCGTCTCAGAAGAATGACAAAAATAGCATAGCGAATGGCGGCCTACTACCCAAAAGTTTATAATTAAGTGGGTACCAAGCAAGTTTGCTTGCAGTAGTTACCCAATGAATGTTATGAACAGGCTCTGAAAGGCCGCTCTTCTAGCTTTCGCTGTGACGGTG